ATCAAACAGTTGTACCTCAAATGGACCATGCACGCACGCCCCATAGACAAAGCAACATATGTGATGAACAACGGTCAAGCGGCCATATGCCGTTGAACGCAAAGCCTCGGGCAGGCTAAGCGGGTCTGCCGGATATTTGACCAGGTGAAGATGGCTCGGAAGCTTCGGAGCGTGTTTCACCCTGCTCTTGAGCTGCGTCTTGAACTCAGTCAGAAGCCGGTATTTCGAAGCAGAATCCGCTGCTTGCAGCCCGAGATCGATGCAGGTAGCTATGATGTGTTTGACAGTCGGCTCGCTCGGCAAATGCATGCCTAGTCCGACGCATCGGCTCACAACGCACTGCAACTTCACGCTGCTGTGCACACCTTGGTCTTCAAGCATGTCTATGTCTTTCTGCGTCAGGAAGGACGCGAAGCCTTGAACCGTCTGCAAGGGTCGGCGTGAAGGCCTCTCCGTCACACCGCTCGCAGCCGCTGCGCTGATTCTCTCGCCCAGCATTGCCGCCTGCAACGCTGTCCAGGGGCCTTCAGCCACCGTGCTGGCAAGCGCGGCTGCATCTGCAAGTGACAGCCTGCTGTTCTCCAGCTGCCTTGCAAAACTGTGTGCCTGGCCATCTTGCATCTTCCCCATGGTCTCAGCGCTCACCAGCTTCTTCTGCGCGTCAAGAAACTCATGGATGTGACGCATGTCCTTCACCAAATCACTGCCAGACGTGGCCATGTCGGCAGGTCTCAAGCCTCACAACCCCCTAGATGCTTGAACAGCCGACGCTCTCAGACAGCAAGACTGAGTGATTTGCATGCGAGCTTCATCAAGAAGCCCAGCATGCAAGCAGCGAGTAAACAACCCAGCTGCATTTCGAGTCGTGCAACCCAAATGACTCAAGCTCAAGGGCAAGGTTTGCTCATGCTCCAATCACCCACATGATTCAAAAACATGTTTGCTGTCAACGCAGGCAATGACGCAAGTGACTCAACGCAGATTACATCATGTGCCATCAAAGAGGATGCAAACTGAAGCACATGTTGGCTGTGACGCTTTGCAAATAACCCTGGATTCGACTGTTTTTGCACCATAGATCAAATTGCGTCAAAAGCAGGCCGGCCGGGGTGCTATCAGCATCACGGCGCATCCATCCTGCGCTTCTTAACTGCACACCCGTCAATTGTGTCTTCGCCAGCCCACATGAGCCCGTTCCAGCCCATAGAGCCCAGCACAGCAAACTTGGTTTGCATCGTGAACTTATTCATCCGGGCTGCCCCCTCCTGAAGATCCTTGACAGCACGGCTCTTCGTGACCCGCATGTTTGCTTCGTAGAACTTGGTCAGGATCGGTTTCTGTGTAAAGGCGTGCTTCCACTGGAGCGCCACGAACCGGCCGTCTGGGCTCCTACACAGCTCGCAGGTCACCACAATGGTGCCTTCAGGTGCACGCCGGATGAGAAGGTCATCAAATCGTGCCCCCTTGTGCCTGTAGCGCAGGATCTCTTCCTCCATGATCAGCCCCGGCCTTAGGATCGTCTCCACGTAGTGAAACGGCACCACCGTCATGACGCCTCCCTCGATGTTGAGGAACACCGGCGTGTGGGTCTCGAGGCGGTCCGTGTGCGTGTCGCTCACGCCCTGCCAGTCCTTCGCCTCCGGCACAAAGCCCGGGTACCGCCACTCTGGAGCCACCGAGGCTCTCTCCCATGTGCAACCAGGCATGCCGCCCACCAAATGCAAATTGCGGAGTGGGTGCTTGAGCGCAAGCTGCGTGGCACGATGAAGGCGAGGCGTGTGCCCCAGCCCGGCGAGGCACGCGTGCCCCAGCCATTTCGACTTCAAGCTCCAAACAGGACACTCTTGTGATGATGTGCGCCGAATGGCACAACGGGATCGATCGTGTAAAATCAAACTCGTCACACGCATGCATGCAATGGCTGGGCTATAGGTGCGCATGCATGCAAGTGTGTATGCATGAATGCATGTCTGTATGTGTGCACACTCACTCACTCCTCCACACTCACTCAATCACTCACCAACTGACTCACTAACTCGCTCACTCACCGACTCGCTCGCTCGCTCACTCACTCACTCACTCACTCACTCACCCACTCACTCACTCACTCATGCACTCACTCATGCACTTGCGCACTTACTCACTCACTCACTTACTCACCCACCCACTCAGTCACTCGCTCACTACTTGCTTATCTCCCCTCGCATCACCTACACTCCACACGCCACTCCACTCCACTTCACTCATTTGGCTTTTGGGCGGGACCCTGAACCCCCCCCCTTTCTGGTCCACACCACACGCGGGCGGACCCTGAACCCCCACCCCTTTCTGGTCCACGTTTCGGAATCGCTCACTCACCCACTCACTCACTCACTCACTCACTCACTCATGCAGTCACGCATGCACTCGCGCACTCGCTCACCCACCGACTCATTGACTCACTAACTGACCCACTAACTGTCTCACTGTTTCGCTGGCTCACTGGCTCACTCAATCAATCACTGACTCACTCACTCACTCACTCACTCACTCACTCACTCACTCACTCACTCACTCACTCACTCACTCACTCACTCACTCACTCACTCACTCAATCGCTCAATCGCTCAAGCATGCATGCGTGCACGCGTGCATGTGTGTGTGTGTGTGTGTGCGTGTATGTATGATATGCATGTATGTATGTATGTATGTATGCATGTATGTATGTATGTATGTATGTATGTACGCATGTACGCATGTATGTCATTGTGTATGTCTGTCTGTATGCATGCATGTATGTATGTATGTATGTGTGCGTGTATGTATGACGATGTGTATGCACGCATGCGTTCTGTGTGCAAGTGAGGGAGAGCCGGTCAGTCAGTCAGTGGATGTGGGTGAATGAGTGAGTGGAGTGGAGCGGAGAGGGGAGTGGAGCGGACTGAGAGGTGGAGTGGAGTGGAGAATAGAGTGGAGTAGAGTGGAGCAAGTCAGTCAGCTCAGTGAGGTGAGGCGAGGCGAGGCGAGGCAAGGTGAGATGTGTGAGTGAGTGCGTAAGTGCATGAGTGAGTCAGTGGGTGGGTGGCTGGGTGAGTGAGTGAGCAGGCGAGCAAGCAAGGGAGCAAGTGAAGGAGGCAGGGAGTGAGTGAGCGAGCGAGCCAGTGAGTGGAGAGTGAGTGAGTGAGTGAGTGAGTGAGTGAGTGAGTGAGTGAGTGAGTGAGTGAGTGAGTGAGTGAGTGAGTGAGTGAGTGAGTGAGTGAGTGAGTGAGTGAGTGAGTGAGTGAGTGAGTGAGTGAGTGAGTGAGTGAGTGAGTGAGTGAGTGAGTGAGTGAGTGAGTGAGTGAGTGAGTGAGTGAGTGAGTGAGTGAGTGAGTGAGTGAGTGAGTGAGTGAGTGAGTGAGTGAGTGAGTGAGTGAGTGAGTGAGTGAGTGAGTGAGTGAGTGAGTGAGTGAGTGAGTGAGTGAGTGGAGTGGAGTGGAGTGGAGTGGTGTGGAGTGGAGTTGAGTGAGTGAGTAGTCAGTGAGTGAGGCATCAGAACGAACAGCAATCCGTATCCATGCAAGCAACTGCATCTGCCAAGCCGTGAGCCATGCCGATCAGGCTAAACCAAGGAGGTCCCACTTCACCACAACCACGAACCGAAACCTGATTACCATTTCGGAGTTGCCCCAATGACAAACGCATCGCGTGGCACCACTGCAGCGCATGTGGATCACCGGTTTTTTTTGTCGCTCAGCGGTCGAGCATCGAGGTACGATTGACCGGATGGGGAGGCCGCAAGTCGCCACAGAAATGCAAGGGGGTGCCAGGGCTCCAATGGTCAATGTCGGGTTTTGTATAGATCTATAAAAAAACGTGTCAGGTGGATTCCTTTTTTTTATAGATCTATATGGGAAATTGCTGATGCCATTGAAATATTGTGTTTTTTTATCGATCTATAAAAAAACGTGTTGCTCCCCAACTGTTTTTTTATAGATTGATGAACTTTGCGCGCCCCCCCTTTGCAGCTGACGTGTCACTGAACCTGATGCAGTGACCATTCCGTGTCCTAAGCCAGGCTCCGTCCAGCTCAAAAAAAAGGAATGCCCTTTCATGGTGCCCCTATGTTTGATGTCTCTTTGAGATGGCTCTGCCAGGCTTCAAGTGCAACCAGTTGCCAAAACTGCTGTACATGTGCACATCCGAGCGCCTGCGTAGCCGTCATCAACACATGTCCCAAACTTCATGAGGGGTCCTTCACCGTATCACGCTGGCGGCAAATCAGGCGCCCGCGTGCTCCGCCAAAATGTGATGGCCAAGTGACCCACTGGCATGTGCTGGAGTGAAGTGGTGCGTGTGTAGTGCTGCTCGCCACATGGCTGGGCTTGTGCATGGTTAGTCTGCTCGCCATGTGGCTGGGCTGATGTGAAGTTGCATGGTTATTTGGCTCGCCATGTGGCTGGGTTGGTGTGAAGTTGTGCATGGTTAGTTTGCTCGCCATGTGGCTGGGCTCATGCGCATGAATGCCAGCGGGTCATGTTGGGCCCATGTGATCTGCCATGACCGTCACCGCCGTGGCAAGGGCAGATAGAGCCTTGCCCATTGCACCAGCATTGCCGCCGCGGTGGCGTGCTCTGGTGCGCCCTTGCTGGATCCTTCGTTGCTCCAACTGATCAACCAGCAAACGATAGAACGGCTTGAATGAATCATTGATTGATTGCTTGATTGATTGATTGACTGACTGATTGATTTATTGATTGATAGGGTGGTTGATTGATTGGTTGATTGATTGGCCATGTGTTTCACATTAAAGCTGAAGCTGCGACCCTCTATCCTGTCTACATGTTTGGGAAACCAACGCAAATATACAATCATCACAACCTGCAAAAGTCAGCGCAAGCTTCGGCAACAGACGTCCCCACGAATCTACATAGCCAGAGCCGTCTGCCATGTAGTAGCCGTGCCCCTTGCGTTGCTTCCCTTTGGCCTTCCCCTTCGCCTCCTGCTTCCCTTTGCCCTTGCTCCCCTTCTTGCCCTGCCACTGCCCCTCGCGATGCCCGGGCGATGACCAGGCCTTGTCCGTGTTCTGTGCCGGGGATGACCAGGCCTTGTCCGTGTTCTGTGCCGGGGATGACCAGGCCTTGTCCGTGGACGACCATGCGTCTGTGTCCCATCTCCTGCTCTTCCACGAGCTCTGCCATGTGCTCCAGCCACCTGCAGCCGCCTCATCATGAGGTTTCTCCTTGGTCTCTTGCTCGTCTTTGATGTTGCCCCACCATGAGTCGTCCGCCGGCTCCTCTTCTTCGTCCTTCACGTGGGCCCACCACGTGTCTTCCCACTCCTCCTCCGGCTCTGCCTTGACACCGCTGCTCGGCTGCCATTCTTCCTCCTCCGGTTCTTGATGCACACCTCCATGATGAGCACCACGCCACGCGTCGCCACCAGAAGCGTCTCCCTGATGAGCACGCTCCGCACCTCCTCCATGATGCCACGCATCGCCACGATGAGCGTCTCCCCATCGTGGCGCACCTCCATGATCTCCACCTCCATGCTGAGCTCCGTGTTGAGCACCTCCAAGATGAGCGCCTCCATGCTCATCACCTCCATGATGAGCTCCGTGTTGAGCACCTCCAAGATGAGCGCCTCCATGCTCATCACCTCCATGATGAGCTCCGTGTTGAGCACCTCCATGATGAGCGCCTCCGTGGTGAGCAGGCCAGACATCAGCGGCAGCATCCTGCCACCCAGACTCCCACCACGACATCTCGGCTGGCGCCGGTCCACCGTCTCCACGTGATCCTTCGCCATCTCCTCCATGAGCCTCTGCCGCCGGCCTGGCGCTTTCGCCATCTCCTCCATGAGCACGCGCCTCTGCCACCGGCTTGGCGCCTTCACCATCTCCTCCTCCATGAGCACGTGCCTCTGCCACCGGCTTGGCGCCTTCACCATCTCCTCCTCCATGAGCACGTGCCTCTGCTGGCTTGGCGCCTTCACCATCTCCTCCTCCATGAGCACGTGCCTCTGCCGGCTTGGCTTCGCCACCTCCTCCATGAGCAGGTGCCTTTGCTGCCGGCTCGGATTGCCCGCCGGCGGCTCTGCCTCCTCGGCCGCGCCCAGGCTTCACCCGGATCTGCAGCTTGCGCCGCTTCGCGCGGACCTCCGGCACCATGTACGGGTCGTGCTCCGCCGGCTGCAGCTCGTCATCATCCTCACCATCCATGGCCCCGCCACGTGAGTGTGCAACAAACAGAACCTGAAGACGTGTCTGTTTTCCCTGGGGCATGGGGGTTTCTGGTGGTGTGGCTAACAGTTGCATGCTTGCCATGTGTATGTGTGCACATGCTCATGCATGTGACGTGCTCATGGAGCCATGCATCCGCTGGCCACAGACATCAATGAAGCATCAAGCCTCAAACATTGACGTCGACAACCACAACCACAGCCACAGCCACAGCCACCGCCACAACGACAACAACGACAACAACGACAACAACGACAACAACAACAACAAACTCAGCAACTTCAAGGACAACAACAACAACAACAACAACAACAACAACAACAACAACAACAACAACAACAACAACAACAACAACAACAACAACAACAAACAACAACGACAACGACAACGACAACGACAACGACAACGACAACGACAACGACAACAACAACAACAACAACAACAACAACAACAACAACAACAACAACAACAACAACAACAACAACAACAACAACGCCAACAACCAATTCAACAACGTCAACAACTTCAAGAACAACAACAACAACAACAACAACAACAACAACAACAACAACAACAACAACAACAACAACAACAACAACAACAACAACAACAACAGCTTTAGCAGCTTTATCAACTGTTTGATGTGAGTGTTGTTGTTGTTGTTGATGTAGTTGTTAAAGGTGATGTTGGTGTTGATGCTGTTGTGCATGTTGTCGCTGTTTGTTGTCCTGGTTGTTGTTGGTGTTGCTGATGATTATGTTGATGTTGAAGCTGAAGTTGCTGTTGTTGCTGTTGTTGTTGTTTTGTCATCGTTCCTGCTGTGAGCTCTATAGTTGTTGTACTTGCTGTAGTTGTTGCAGTTGTTGTTGTTGTTGCTGTTGGTTTTGCTGTTGCTGCTGCTGTTGCTGTTGCTGTTGCTGTTAACATGCATACATACATCCAAGGATGTCCACATACGCATGCATATATACACATTCGACAACATTTTCCACAACGATATGAACGTGAACCTCGACATCACGGCCAACAACACAACTTGCCTTGCGCAACAACGCGTTAGAAAAAAAACAACAACGGCGACAGCAACACCCGCAATACGTATACATCAGCATCAACGGCAACCACAGCAACAACACCAACATCAACGTCGGCATCAGCATCAGCACCAACCACATCAATATCAGCATTCTAGCATCAACATCATCTTCAACAACGACATCAACATCAAGCGCAGCAAAAACGACATCAACACTAATGATATTGAAAACAATCGCATCAACAACAACCTCCAAAAAAGATCCGGTAAGAGTCTTTGCCACAACACTGGTCTCAAGAAGCAGCTGTATCAGGTTTCCTCCGGACGCACCACTGTCGGCATTCTGCACTCCCAGCAAATTAAGGCGTCATGCCCTGCACATGAGACATTTCGCGCACCACCCTGTTCTTGCACGCCCCTATGGCAAAGATGAAAAGAGGCTTCTCTCAAGTCAAGGCATTGCCCAAGTGTTTTTTTAAAACACATTGCCAAACATGGTCCACACGCAGCTTCCAATGATTGGGGTTGAAAACGTAAACCATGACTAAACTCACCTTGACTCTGCAGAAGTTTCCCCCTGATCTTCAGCAGGCACAGGCTCTTTGAACCTGCGCTTCTTAGCGCCCTGCTGGCCCGAGGATTCAGCCAGAATGCCACTCCTCACGTGCTCTAGGATCGTATCCGACATCTCGATCCACAAGTCATGGGACTTCACGCCCCAGAGGCATTTGACAGTCTTCTCTTCGTGCTCCTCCACGGCTGGCACGACGATCTCCACCACTGCCGCTGAAACCGCTGCATCGTCCTTCCGCACACGCCTGCGGCGCTGGGGAGCCGCAGGCTCTCCTTCTTCGGGCTCTGGCATCACTGCGCTCTTGTAAGCCTCCTTGCTTTTCTGGTCCCTGGCGGCAATGAGCTTGCCCAGGAAGGCGCCGTCCAACCAGTGACCCTTATCCTTGCGGAGGTCCAACGCCTTCCCGGTAACAAAGCGGGTAAGATCTCGAGACCAGCGGTAGATCTTCATGAAGTTGGTGCCCTCCACGCACTGAACTTCGGGAGTCCAAGGGTTCTTGACAGTGTGACTGTTCGTGATGACCCAGATGGTCCCGATCTGCACGTTTGACATGACGGGAAGCGAGCACTTGCCCAGCTTCGTTCGGGCGAGCACCGAAGCCCAGCCGAAGATACGTTCACTCCACTTGAGAACTGCGGATGCATTATTTTTCTCTCTCTCTCTCACTCTCTGCAAACGTCAAGTTGCATCAGTGTGTTTTTTGGAATGATGGTGGGTCCGATTTCCAACAAACTGGTTGTGTCGAACTATGAATAGTACGATTGCTGCCCATGCAAGCAAGCACAAGGCTGAGTGATGGCAAGCTTTAGCAAATTACCATGGACATCTCTGACCTGGCTGGGCAGTGGCTCGCCAATGTTCCATTGAAGCTGGGCTTGGCTCGCTTCTGAGGCTGGGCGCACATGCTCGCCAATGCGAACAAGATTGGGTTTCGTGTTTAGGTGCCTCTGCCTATCAATCCGGGAAGCCTAATTGCAACACCAGTTCCCGCACATGACACGCTCGATGTTCCTGACAGCTTTGGCTGACGAATGAACAATAGAAACACACAGGGCTGCCAAAAACGGTCCCTCCATGGCACTGCTTCCACGAATCATTTTGCCGATGCCACCAAAAGCAGTGAGTGCGTGGGCGCATGCGCAATGGCAGCCCTTCTAGAAATATACTGCAAGAAGCCCCTCAATCCCGCCAAGGCAAGCATAGCAACACTGATTAAAAATACTGCATGTTGTGTTGCACATATGCTTCAGAAAAATATGGCTGGTGCCAACGGGTGAATACGAGTGGCTTATCTACTCCGAAGTTTTCAGACGTCGGCGCTTCATAGGCGCTGCCGTGGGAATGATCTCCTCCAGGTCTGGGACCTTGGTGTCTTTCTTCCGGTGCACCACGAGCTGCTCACCAGCCTTGATTGCGCGCGTGTTCTTCATCACGGGCACCTTGATGGTGACCTGGTGGATCAGCTTGTCGGATTCGTTGTGGGAGCCCAGGTCCGGAGTCACCTCCATGTTGGCCTCGTCTGGTTGCTCAGTTGTCTGGACCAGCCAGAAGGGCGCGATCATGCCCTTGGAGCCCTCTGGGTGAGGCTTTGGCGCCGCAAAGCACGGCACCAACCAAAACGAAAGGCCGCCTTCTGGGCCAGCCATGAGCTCTCCCAGAAGCTGTGCGCCCGACTTCTGCAACTGGGTGCTGATGCGGGTGGTCATGGGCACCAGGACCAGCTTGTTGGTCGCAAAGTTCTTGGTCGCAACCACATTTTTGAACGGTTTAGCCTGGATGGTCAAGTGCTGCAAGGTGTCCAAGTGCTTGAGCTCTTCCTGCAGCAACGCAGCAGTGATCTTGCCCTTGAGATACAGCACTCCAAACTCCACATGGCTGCCAATCCGGTGCTGCCAGTGCTCCTGCAAGTTCCAGTTGGCCAAAACTGATTCCAACCCCTCCGACAAATGGAATAAAAAAGGCGAATTGGAAACATGCGCAACTGCCCTTTATGAGGGCCCCAGGCTCCTGCACCTCCTCCACCTCCTTCTTCGCAGCACAGTGGGTCCATTCCTTCTTGGAGAAGGATTTGGCCAAGACTTTCGCCGTCCCCGAAATGAGACCGGATTCGATGCGCAAAATCACATGCGACTGCGTGAATCCGGAAATGGTCGCCGCGACTTTATCCGCGCGCCGCATGACAGCGTCCCCGGCATTGAACCCTAGCTCTTTGACAATGGCCTCGCATTCGGCAAGCTCTCCGTGCCGGTCGTACGTCAGCATCCTGATGGCCCAAGAGCCGAGCAAATCGCGAGCTTTCCTAAAAGCCCAGCGCTGGCGAGCTGTTTGGCCCAGCCGCACACATCTGTGCTGTTAACGAAAATGCGGACGGATCCCAAAACAATACATATTTAGGTCGTCTTGGAAAAACGTGTTTTTCAGCAAAGGATCACTGAAGGGGCAGCTGAATCGGGGCGAGACGGCCCTGCCACAGCAGGCTTCTCCACGGTGAAGGCACTCCACTTCTCAGTCAGCAAGGGGCCGCCTCTCTCCTGCACTTTCACGATGAAGGCCTGGGCGGCGTGCTCCATGCTGGGCAGGCGCCCTTTCCTGTCCAGCAACTGTGTGACGATCTGATGCTCAAAGAGAAGCACCTCCTGATGCAAGTCGGAGGCCAGGGTGATGCGACCGAGCTCCCGAACGTCTTGCATCAGCTGTTCTGCTGCAGCTGCATCGTTGGATCTCAGCAGTCTCCTAAGGTCACTGACTGACAACGGCTTCTCCTCAATGTAAGACACACGCAGGGCAGCGTGGCGAAGGCGAAGCAAATGCTCCCCACCTTTGCCAGGCAAACTCAAGTTGTCCCAGCGGTCCGGGCCCAGCTGCCTCTGCGAACCGCCAGCCCTTTTCACAAACTGCTCGCTCTCACGAATCCACTGGCCATCAGCCCCTCCTCCATACCTGAGGATGAAGGTATACATGAATGGCGCAGCATTGCTGCAAGAGGGCTTGGTGCGCAGGACCTTGCTCCGGATCTCCTTGAATTGGACTTGCGTGTCTGGCTTGGACTTGGCCTCCTGCTGCCAGGCTCCCAAAAGGCGGAGGCATATCTGCAGTTCGCCCTCTTGGCGCTGCAGTTGCGCTCCGGTGTTCATGGCCTGTTGCAACAAGCCGCATAAGGCGGGGTAGCGCGTGATGACAGTGGAGCTGATTATGGACCATGTCAAGCCGTTCTCGGCGGCGTCAGCGTATGCAGCGTCCTTGTCCCTGAGCTGGTGAAGGGAAAGCTTGCCCTTTACGAGAAGATCTGGGTTGCCGTCGTGCAGGCAGGAGGCAGCAAACAACCTCAGCGCACAGTTGGTGTGCGAGGCACTCAAAGATCCGTACCGAATGGTTTCTTTGATGATGGGCGCCAGCTTCATCGTGTCATCGACGTGGGCATCAAGCTCTTGGTTGAACTTCACCACCAAGGGAATCTCCTCGTGGGAGAGCTCCACGCACAAAGCCCGGATCTGGGCCCAGTCCCAGCCGCACTCCGAGATGTCAGAAGCCAGCTGGTGGACGCAACTTGGGCTCACCCCGGAGCCGTCCCGGTTTGCCGGGTGGACCGCGACCCACTCTGGCTTCAGCCGAGCACGCCAGCTGAGATGCGCATTCCTGAGCTGGCATCAGTTGCCTTAAGGAATGTCCTCATTAAAAAACCAACATCCAGGCTTTGACCCTTCCTTTTCAGATTCCATACAGGAAGCAAACACATTTGCTACACCGCAGGCCAAATGTCTCCAAATCAACCATCAATGCCGCCATGGACTGCACTATGGACCCACTTTCGGCCTTGGCGATGTGGGCTTCAATCTTTGCACACAGCTCGGGTGTGATCATTTCGCTATCTACCAAAATCAAAGTTTGTCCCAAATAGCTGCAGTGCCTTCACAATGGCTTGCGCGCATGCGCCATTTGGCCTGCCTACATGGCGGGTCCAGAAAGCGTTGTCTGATCTGATTAGACCTTCATGTTCCAACACCGAAAAACATGGCAAATTCTTGCAGTTGACCCTGCACATGTGGGCATGTGGCTTACGTGTGACCGTGGGTTTGACAACCCGCAAGCAGCCTTCAGCATGAGTGCACAACCCTTCTCAATCGCATCAGGGCATCAATGAGAAACTCCCTATAATGGAGGGTTGTTGGACCCCACGCATGGGTGTAACTATTCACTTGCCTTTTTCCCCATGACTGTTGCGCGGCAAGGTCCACGCTTCTAATTGGTGGCTTGGATGGACTCATGCACATCCTTTCCTTGCGGCTGCATCTCTCATGGCAGACCGCCACCTATACATGAGGCGCTCCCACTCTCGTTTGCTGCCTGCGTCTTCTGGTCGAGGGGTCGTTGGTTGTCCATCTGTGGGTTCCGTCTTGTACTGCTGGTACAAGCTTGAGGCCTTTGTGAACTGCAGCGCAGTCTGCCGTTTCTTCAAGATGTGGTCCCCCTGCTCGGCCGACTGCATGGCTCAAGGTGGTCTCAGTATTGCGCCGAAACACTTCGGCGCAAGCTTGGCATGCGAGCTTATAACGCCCAGCATGCGTAGAGGCGAGCTCTCATGCCCAGCCACGTGATTCACAGCTATACAACAAATGCACTTCAAGCAACCAATGTTTCTTGTTCGGGTCCCTTAGAAACAGTGGCCCCCCAAACAAGCCCAATGATGCATTGCATTTTGAGGAATTATCAACCAGCAATCCCCTATACCAGCAACTTGAACCTACCCACGACCCATGACGAATCACAACGCAATGAAACTCCTCCAAGACGTTAAGCCCGTGACACGTTTCATGCACCAAACACAAGCCCTGAAAACTATGCTCAAGTTCCCACGCAAGCCCGGCCTACGGGGTCAAAACACTTTCCTACGATGTACGTTTGGGTTTTCCATGGCAAATCTATGCAAGGAGATGCTTTTTGCAAATGGTTGTTCGGCGGCATGATGACACACGTGTAAATACACATGCCAAAAATGAAAACATCTCCAAGAATCGCTCTGTCAAATTGGACGCCTTTGTCCTATATTTGCCGAACAAATGTCAGAGTGCACGGTTTGGGGAAGTTATATAAAGCCCATGAGCAAAACTAGCACACATGTTATAACTCCTTAGCTTTGCGTGTAAATAGGGAGTTGTAGTATAACCGTGGCTTTGCCAATCTTTTTGCGGCGACGCTGCCCCCCCCCCTGTCGATCCCAGTGGCCGTGCCTGCGTTGGCAGTGGCCCCGCCGCGCAAACCGGCGCGCAGCGTTTGCCTTTCACAAACCTGTATGGGCGGCGCGCAGTTGCTTATATAAAGGGGAGGGTTGGGTTGGGGAAAATGTGTTTTTAACATATGTGGGCACGCATATAGCTATACATGTTGCGCTTACACGTTGTTACGCGACCAAAAACAAAATATTGTCCCAGCATTCGTGGCTAGCTGCACGATATGATTTGTGAGCATTGTTGTGGATATTCATCCAACAAACACGCCTCTCGGCTTACTTAGCGAGCTTGCTAAGTATACCCGGCAAACATATAAGTATGGCGTGGTCAACTTACTAAGTAGGCCGCGGTCAACTTACTAAGTATGTCTTGGCGCACTTAGCTATGTCTTCCAAATATATTACTTAAGTTCGCCAAATCCCTTGTCCCACATATAGCTATCTTAACTTATATGTTAGCCATGTGTTTGTCCTATATGGTAAGTACTTGCCCTAAGACGGGCTACTTACTATCTTGTGCTGTCCATGATGGCTGAATTACACCAACTTATAACTCATGTTGGAGGAAATATAACTGCAGATAGCTTAGTCAGTAAATGCGTCATGTAAGCCATCTAGATAGCAACACCGCCGAACATCCAAGCAAGCAAGATCGGCCGGCGTCGGCTTACTGCCGGCTGGCAAACTCGTGGGGTTTCCCATGAGTTGCTTTAAGTCTTTGTGCAAACGTGACAAGTCTGTTGGCCCTCCAGCGCCCACAGCCTCGAAAGACGGCTTCCACTTCTTAGCTGCGAAGAACTGCCGAGGCGCCTGCGTTAAATGCCAAATCCAAGCTAGCGGGCTTATCAGCCCCTCTGCGGATGCAGCGCGAAGCTCTCGATGAACCTTTTTCAAATACATCTTGAAACCTGCGAAGGCTCGAATGTCCAGCGGTTGGGCAATGTGAGTGCACGAGGATGGAATGAACAGCAGCTGGATCCCGCAGTCTGATGCTGCCTGCATCACAGGCAGTGGAAGGTGGGCCGGAGCACAATCCAAGAGCAGCACTGGCTGCACATTGCCTGCGTCAAGCACAGGCTGCAGCGTTTTAGAGACGTCCTTGATAATGGCAACCATGACTTCTGAAGTGTTCCAAGCTGATTTCCGGCGAAGGATGCGAAGCTGCGTCGCCGGCAGTGCAGCAATGCCCTTCATGATTGTCTTGGTCAGCCTCACGGCGCTTCCAATCAAGTAGTGTGGCAGCTTGCCTTGCAGCTCGGCTGAGTCACAAATCAATGCCACGTAGGACATCGCGCCGCGCAAGTTCTCCTTCTTCACTTTCGCACGCAGCCGCAGGCCGCGCTGCACGCACGCTGCTGCAACACAGCCAGCAAGCGGAGTCATGTTGAACCCTACCGAGGTTTCGTCCAGATTAAGGAACACAATCTGCTTGTGGCTGTACTTGGCCGAAACGTGGGCTAGTGTGTGCCAGAAAGCACGGACCTGCAGCAGAAATCAAGGCTGGATTCTCCCAGAACAAACCCAAGCGCACCTCCCGGAAAGAAGGCCCTAAAACCTGACCGCTTTTGGGGTCAGCTTCGTAACAAAGGCCATTAGCTGGGCAGGTTTCCGGGGCCATTTTTCGTGCCCAAAAAAGGGCCCTTGCTTTTCGCGCCTTGGTTCGCAGCTCTTCCGGCTCGATGTAGCCTTCTGGCTGTAAAGTCTTTCGGCGCACGCCCCAGCGCAGGCGCCACCTGGCAGCCCATTTGTTCACAGTTCTCTTGGAAGGCGCTCCCAGATCTGGCTGATGACCAAGCAAGGCTCCCTCGCACTGCAGGAAGACATCCACGGAAGACGGTGTCACACCGTGACCGACATTCATTGTCTCCACCCACTGCATTGTAGAGTTTTCTGCTAGAAACGCTTGTGCTTGCTGCGTGGCTGTGACCCATGCTGGAGTCTCAGGAGCATGAGCTTGGCAAATTTCGCTCATTGGGGCCGCCAAAAAAAGGCTCTCGACTGTGGCAGCACTTGGATATCCCGGCGTCTGAGCATGTTTGAAGGAGGAGAGGCGTTGTGCCATGACTGTGGCCAACTCTATGTTGTGTCCCGACAACAGGTACACGGCAAGGGTGGCTTTCTGCCCAGCAGGTCCAAGGCCACCACGTCCAGCACGCTCGTGCCTTCTGCTTTGTTGCCGGTAATGTGCCTTCGCAGCGTTTCTGTTCGCAGTGAGCTGAGCTTGCAGCGTCTGCACTGCCAGCCGAGCTGCTGCCGCATCAAAGTCAGGCTGGTCCATGACAAGCTCTAGCGGGCGGCGACCCTTGGTCGCAAAAGGCAGGGGTTGCGCTACTGCACATCCTCAGGGCCGTAGGCTATGCCACACGCAGAACAACAACTTTGCGGGCAGTAAAGGTCAAAGCAACTTTCAAGCTCATCGGTGCTCAAAAGCGTGCGAGCACGTGCTTCGCTGACACATGGAAGCTCTTAAGGGCGGTTACAGACTGGGTTCTGCAGAAGCGCACGGATGCAAAAGATGCACACGCACACACACACACAGACACAAACGCTACTCTCTCTCGGCCGAAGAGTCGGGCGACAACATTTCCCGCACCAGGGCGGCAAGCCTCTCCAGGTACATGTGAGCAACATAATAGCGCGGCAAGAAAGGTTTCACAAAGGGGGCCTGTGCTATTGAGGGTTGGTTTTGCGCATATTCGCGGCTCACTTTTCTGGCCCGCAGAAGGCTAGCCGGGGAGCTGGAAAGTGCAAGGGCTCCTACACACAAGACCATTCCTGGGCACAAGAAGAAATGGACTGCGCAAACTTATCCACCGCCGCCCCTCTTGCAGCTGTCCAACATCACACCTCCACAAAGCAAGGCTCGCTCAGCTCGATCAAGACCATGTTTTCTGCCATCCAGGGCTCCAAGCTATCCCATGTAGCAGCGTGATCAACGGTGAAGACAATTGGAATTCTGTAAAGATAGACATCGTAGCTATACACTCCAGTTTTGCTCTGTCCAAGGGTGTGCACGTCGCCGTTCGATTGAAAAAGGGCACGTTGGGAGAGTATGAAAGACATATTGTTGATGTTGTCGAAGACCAAGAATCCGTGTTTGCGACGATTGAAGCCGCGAAGATCGGCCGATACATCATCTTGCACAGTCTGTATGTAAGGTGGCTTGAGCCAGGCCAGCTCTTGATGCAACGACTTCGCAAGAGTGCTCTTGCCACAGCGGGACCCGGCTCGCAGCACTAGAAATTTATAACGGAGCAAGGGCATAGAATACTGACTGGCCCATTCCCGGACCAACTCCAGCACATGCTGCTTGAAGGGACGTTTCAAGGTTTCCAGAACCGCGTCCGCGGCTGCTTTCTCCCCTTGAAAGGCTTGCTGCTGCTCGCGCAGCTGCACTGCTTCGACTTGCTTCAGCCGGCCGACAAAACCGACGCGAACCTTGCACCTCGCGCTGCGGGCAGCGTGGTCAAGAAATTTCCAGCACTTTGCAAGAAAAAGAGCTGTCTGCACTTCAAACCCTGCAGCTTCTCAACTGAAAGCTTACTCGGCAGCCAGGCGGCGCGTATTCCAGGTAAATATCGTGTGTCAATTTCTGCGAGGACCAGAGAGAGTCCAACCAGGCACCGCGCACTGTGTAGTGCACCCACGGCTCGTGCCCGCTTGTTTGGACTCTCAGTGAGCCAACCTGAGCTGAATGCAGACACAAACAGGCAGCGCTTGCAAGAAGGCCTGGCAACAGTGGCCCGAAAAGAGCAAAAGAGGTGTCTACCTGAGTTATGTTCGCCTCCTCCTACGCAAGGATTTCCCGACAAGTGATGGCAGCCTAGGTGCTTTGGCGGCCCAGCAATAAAAATGGCCTTGGTCTACTGACTCCCGCCACTTGGCGCCACGCGCTCTGCAGGGAGAACAGTTCGGGAGGACCTGACGCCACGCCAAGGGACGCAGCGACGTCCAGTCGGGCGCCTTGTGAAATTCAATGTAGACATGCAAATGCCAGCGGTCCATGTTTTGAGCATGCTCGGACCGTTCCAAAGTTGCGGTCCAGCGGGAAATGCTTTCGACTGTCTGGATGAAGTCCACGAAAGGCTCAAAATCTGATGGGAAGCATTATAAGTCAACAGCGCTGCAGCCGCTCGCAAACGGAACGGCGCCTGCAAAGCAAGTCCTAAATCGGGAAATACAACAGCCGAGGTTGACACTAACTTGACTTATGTCTATAACGGGCACAAAAGGGCACGGAAATCGCTCGCGCACAAGCCAAGCCTTGGCGGTCGCAGGCACTGGCGCTGCAGCTGGTGAACTGGCCGCTTGGCTCGCCTCTGCTGGCACTTGACGAACAGGCAGGGGCGCTTGACCTGGTGTGGCATAGTAGAAATCACTAAACGTGCTGGCTTTTGTCGGAATTAGCCCTCAAGGGCTAAAAAATGCCCCCAAGGAGAAATCACACTTGCGAGCCCGGGAACCACCATACAGCTGGACAGCAGCGTCTAGCCTTTGCGACTGCGCTGGGGACAGGTCCTTGCTCCGAAGCTGTCAACGCAGTGAACTCGTCCGATCGAAACTCGTATCCCTGCACACGTGGAGCCTCTACGGCCACCTCATCAAGCAAGCCTCGAAGCTGTCCAGATGCTTGCCGCTTCCGCTTTGTCGTCTCTCGAGCCATGGCAATGCATGATGGCAACCAAAGGTGCAAAAAAAAACGAATCAGTCTTTGACGATGGCAACAAAGGGTGCAAACAAAGGTCGAATCAGTCTTTGGGAAAGTTGACAGAACATGCTGCCTGGAACTGAGCAAATATCCTTTGTCAGTCACAACCCCTGCACTCTCCAAAAAAAAAGAAGCGCAGTGAGCCACGCAACAACGCAGCTCCACACCATCTACGAGCATGCCGGGAGTACAATGCTAAAAAAATTGAGTCAGGTCCCTCCGGGTCGCTTGTGACACTTCCCCCGCCTGTTGCTCCGACCTCCCCTCCCGTTCCTAATAACATTGTAAAGCCCAAACGGGGTCCAGCGTCCACATGGTAAAACATGAGGTAAAGTGACCACGCGGGCGTCCACAAATGTACAAATCCCCAGGGAAAGTTGCGCCCACACGGCGTCCACATGTAAAAAAACAGGGATTTGGAAGCTTGTTTTTACGGATCCGGGTCGCTACTGCAGAAAAAGCCCAAACGGGGTCCAACGTCCACATATGTAAACCATGAGGTGATGTGCCCACGTGGGCGTGCACAGATGTACAAATCCCCAGGGAAAGTTGCGCCCACACGGCGTCCACATGTGAAAAAACAGGGATTTGGAAGCTTGCCATAAGGGAAAAAAGCCAAACGGGGTCCAACGTCCACATATGTAAACCATGAGGTACCGTGCCCACGTGGGCGTCCATAAATGTACAAAACCCCAGGGAAAGTTGCGCCCAAACGGCGTCCACGTGCAAAAAACAGGGGTTTGAAAGCTTGCAATCAGGGTCGTTACTGCAGAAATAGCCCAAACGGGGCCCAACGTCCACATATGTAAACCATGAGGTAATGTGCCCACGTGGGCGTCCATAAATGTACAAAACCCACAGGGAAAGTTGCGCCAAAGGGCGTCCACATGTGAAAAAATGGGATTTGGAAGCTGGAACCTAGGGAAAGCAGCCTGCACAGGGCGAGCCAAACCTTCGGAAAGGGACCCATGGATTGTCAACATGTCAACATTCAGGGAAGTTGCAGCTTCCTCCCACGAGTCAGGGCGTCCAGATGTGAAAAGTCAGGGATGGTGCAGGTTAGGGTCATGACTCAAATGTTGAGGGTTCCTGAAGGGCTAAAACAGATTGCGGGTCTGCTACCTGATGTCACTTGCTCTTGGGTGGGCGTTTCTGCAAACATGGAACTTCATCACACTTGCCGACACTGCAAACAATCGAAGCTCCAATGGCGTCCAGCAAACGGCGGCCGTGCGTCAAAAATACCGATGTGAATCACAAACTGCTTATCCCTCATTGGCTCCCTGCTAAGAATAAAGGCTTGCTGTCGCTGAAACTGCGCGCAATCGACGCCCAAACGGCGTTCACAAACTACAAAATCAGCAAACATCTTCATCCCTGACTAGCGTCCTTCTTTGGAACAAGGCCTACAGTTCCCGTCACTGCAGGCAATCGACGCCCAATTGCGACCGCACAAAGCAAACCATGTATCAAAACATTCAGGCCCTGCCAGGAGCCAGACTCGGAAAGCCCATCCCCCCCAATGCGACATGGTCCTCAAACAAATCCTGAGGCTGCAGCCGCGTGAGCAGCGGACAAAACTACCGCGAGGAATCGTTCGGGGGGACTGACAAAAGAACCTGGCGAATTCGTAAACCCAAAAAAGGATCCGACGGTAGTTTTATCCGCTGCTCACATGGACCGCGTAATAACGCTGCGACAAAAACAACACACAACGCAATCGCAGCAATGGCGACATGCATGTCGTGTCTTCCCACATCCATCAGTTGTGGTGGATCGGTAAGCACAGCAGGCTCAGCTTTTCCGCGCCAAGTCCATCCGCTGCAGCAGTCTGACACGAAGGCCTCTAGGCGCACACAGCCAAGCAAGGTTACAAGTGAGCATGGGTGAAAGCACTGACATTCAGCGAGCCCGTGCCCTGCGTCCGCCCTGCGGCGCACACAGCCAAGCAAAGTCGCACAAACGTGATTCTGAGTGAAAGCTCTCGCGTGAGCGAGCTCTGCGTCCGCCTTGTGGCGAAACAAGATGCTTCAAACAGCGCCCCCTTGCTGGTGCACCTTGCGGGTCATCAGCCAAGTGAGGTCGCTCACTGATAACTTTCCGGCTTTTTGCATCAGGCGCCGTCGCTTTTTTTCCTGGCAGCCGGTTTGCTT